TACATATGAACCTACTATTTCACTAGGTGAAATATAATGGGTACATATAAACCTACTATTTCCACTAGGTGAAATATAATGGGTACATATAAACATACTATTTCCACTAGGTGAAATATAATGGGTACATATAACCCCTCCCCTATGAAATAATGGGTATATTTGGGCACTTAGAGACGTACAAACCCCCAACTCACCAAATAAAATTGAAATATGAAGGTACATACTGTAAATACATTTAATTATTCAGTGCGTTTTATTTTTGCTGATAAGGGAATTCTTGAAAATTGATAGGTAAAATAACAATTAAGCTTTTTTTTTGGAACAAATTCATGAAATTAAAACCTAGTGAATACACGCTCAAAACATCAGTGAAAATAAATAGTTTTACAATAAATACCATTTTCCTGGGTAAACAACTGAGCACATAGTGTGTGTAATAATACATATAAACCTACATTATTACTATGATCCCAGGTAAAATATTGGACACATACACTTTTTGTATATGTACCAAATTATATTTGTAGTTATAATCCTGGCAAAATATTTTGCACAAATATATACCTCAAATATGAATATTTGATATGGAATAGTAAGATATTGACCTTACAGGTTGTTACAAGGTTAAACTAACAGGTGTAAATGTAGTAGACTGTAAACAGATTGTAATGTTCTGAGTGGTTTATGTGTGCTTAAGATGCTTCATTAACTATAGATTGAACTTTGACCTGCACGGTTACCAAGCTAAAAAAAACTATTATTTTTCAGATGACTTTATACAGATCAACGTGAACAAATTACATTGGGAGACAGACATAGGGGAGTGAAAATTTAAAGGGCGTAAAGGGGAGGGGGGGATAATGATTGGTGACAGGAATGTAGATTGGCGGTGGGGGGGTGTGTTAGGTTGGTGTTCTTAGTACATCCATGGTGAAGAGGAACAGATTATGCATCTCTCTAACCAAATATGACAACCCCTTCAATTTTGTTCATTAAATCACACCAAAGAAAAGTCTCTATTCTGACCTTCTGCATCTTTTTTTTTTTGGGGGGGGGGGTCACTCCACTTCTAAAATACCAGGCTGGCTTTGTCACCATAGTTACAGTTGCTGTGTTTGTCAAGTGAATTCTGCAGCACATTGATTTCCACTTAAGTCAAATTAAATGAGCCAGAAATGCATTAAAAGTATACCAAAAGTTACTCAATTTTTTTTTTTTAAATTTGAATCTTGAATCTCAGAGAAATTACAAGATGCATATTTTGTGAGAATGACTATTTTTTTTCCTCTTTGCTATTTCAGTCAACATAAACACATTTTTGAACCATTACTTCGATAATAACTTCTGTAAGGTATATGATACAAACTGCTGGTGTATCAAGGACGCAGACATCAATGCTGGTGAGCCAAGAATCTATTTTGATCAGTTGAATATGTTCTTTTGTTCAGTTTTACTTCTAAGACCCTAAATTGCTTGCAATACACTTGTCCAATCTGATATGATACCACTTGCATTGACAGTCACATCTCTATTGCTTTAGGATAAAAGGTCATTGTAGCATAAGGTCAAAATGCCACAATGCCTATGGACAAAAAGTCACCATTGTTGGGAGACAAAAGAAACTTTTATTTTGCGTTGAAAAAAAATGTCCAAAATTTCAGGAGGGTGTACATTTAACTGTGGGTTATGTAGAAAGCAACCTTTAAGCAACTCAGTCTCCATTGAATGCAATCAATTCAGTTATCTCACAGATACCCTTCACAATATTCAAACTATGGTTGTTAGGTGTAGTGTTTGCTATTAAAACAAAGCTAGTAACTTGGCCAAACACTTGACAAATTATTTGTGGGAGGACATTTTGAAGACCACTAAACACTCATTTGTTGCCAATACAGATGTTCAATATTCCATAATCGGTGAGCGGTTGCAAAGAAAAAAATTTGCAAAACTATGTCAGAGTGATTCCCCTGAATAAATTTCACTGAAAAATATTCCATTTAGCAAAATGCTGTTTTCCTATTTTCGCTCTCACTGACTTGAACTAATTCAGTACTATGTAGGAGTCATTTGCAATCCCCTCCTTTCCCTGCTCAAGACATTGCGGAAATAAAACAGCCACACAATCCTCAAGACTTCGCAGGAATAGAACAGCCACAAAAAACAATACAATAATTTACATCTAGCACAAAAATCAAATATATCGTTCCAACTTGTTCTAATGTTTGAATTTCCCTTTGGTAAACTACACTGAATGCATTCTAAGTTTTTGACGTCACATTCAAAAACTTTGCTTTGTTTTCATTAGTTGCATCAGTACCTTAGCATGTGATGGAAACCTTGCTACTGCATCAGCATTTTTTTTTTGGCAGTTACCTCTCATTTATCTAATACTATAAGTGGTGAAAAGATGTATAATAAAAAGGTTATCACACAAATACTGCAAAGTACGCAGTCAGGCACTATGTGTTTGCAGGGCCCTCCATTATAGTATAGTATAGTATAGTATATTTTATTTGGCACGAAATAATGCATTGAATTACATTATCTATGGTCAATAAACATACAACAACAAGTAACAAACATCAATAACAAATAAAATAATAAGTAAGCAAAGAAATATAAAATATCAGTAGTACATGTAATAAGAAACAAAAATAAAATTTAGATATTGTTAGACATTATAATTTGATGAACAAATTTTTCGAGACTGTTAACAATGAAACTATCATTTGAGGTAAATAATTTTTTAAGTAAGTTATCCTTGGATAATTCTTGAATTTTTTCATCATAAACTGAAACCATATTTAGAAATTGTATACGACTATTCTTAATTTCAATATTTTCACAGTCCATGAATGCATGAGTTTCACTGCCCCTAGATCACATAGTGTACAATTCTTTCTT